TATATATATATATATATATATATATATACTTACTATCACCATACTATTAAATACAATTAAAATGTTACTTAAGAACCCTCTAGAAAAAAATATATGTTGATAGAAAAAATTTATTTTTTGGGTTAAATATTGGAGATGAAAAAATTATAAGTTTTTTATAGGAAATTTAATTCTCTAGAAAAAAGATTCTTTTCATTTTTTCCATATCTTTATTTTTTTGCCAGAATTTGAATTAGAAGTTCTAAGAAAAAAATTTTGAAGAAATCTAACGCAAAGTTTATTTGTTTAAGTTTAGAGTTAAAATTCTGGGTTGGAAAAGTGCTTGGTTGAATTTTCCGTATTTTTAACCGTTTGGCCAGAATTTTGATTTAAAGACTTGAGAGTCTATAATTGGACTAAAAGTTCTTAAAAATTGCAATTTATTTAAAAAAAAAAAAATAAATAAATAATAGGACTTGAGGTTTGATTTTTTTTAAGGACCTAGAAGACACTATTTTACGATAAGTTTTAAAAAAATTAGAAAAATCGGTCTAGTAGGTTAGGAGTTATAGTAATTGCAAAATTAAGGTACACCCCAAAGCGCGGAAGAAAAATTTTAATTGAGATTTGTGGGTTACATATTCAAAAAACGGAAAAATTATACGTAAATTTTTTACAGGAAGTTCGATTGTCTGCAAAAAAGATCCTTATAAATTTTTTTCTATTTCTAACAGTTTAGCCAAAAAATCTTTTTTTTTTTGTACTTCAACATATATTTTTTCCACGAGGATAAAAAAAATGAACAAAGTGACTTTTGCTTTAAAACTAAACTTGTTAATTTATTGCCACATAAATAAATCCTTTGAATTATAATGCTTTCCTTATTCTCTCAACTTATAATTGCAACTTTTACGAGCGACCTAACAAAACTTTTAAATAACTTCTACATACAACTTGCGTCTCCATTCGAATATAAAATAATAAATTTATAATAATTATTATTATAATTTTTTTATTCTGTTCTGAGTCAACATTCTTATGATTTTTTCATTTATTTTTATTGATAAATTATTTGAATAATTGAATAAAATTATCCACACGTTCTGATCCTGTTTTACAGAATGACTAGAATAATTTACTCCAATAACTAATTAATAAATAATTAATTAATTACTCACTAGTTATTATTGAGCGTGTGCGTTAAATGTTTGTTATATGCAAAAGAATTTTTTTTTTTTTATACTAGCGAAAATATCATTATTATTATTATATTTTTTTTTTACCACGATCAATTCCATCTTAGTGGCTAGTGTTTATAATAATTAATTACTTTGTTCTTTATAGCTATTTTTAGTTACTAAATTAGCCCATATCGCGTTATCAATTTTGTAAGCATTAGAAAAATTTAGCGCGGTGCTTGATAGTGACCGGGGGATGGTGATTTTTTTAAAGAACTACAGGACAGTATTTTACGTTAAGTTTTGAAAAAAATCAAGAAAATTGATCGAGTAGTTTTAGAGTTATAGTCATTGCAAAATTATGGTACACTCCAAAGCGCGCGAGCAGGAAATTTTAATTGCGATTTCGAGGTTAATGGTTGGAGATACGAAAAAATAATACGAGAAATTTTTTTATAGACAAAATTTTAAATTAAATTTCAATTCTTAGCATGTTTGATCATACCACGTATTGAGAAAATTTCGAAATGAAAATTTTGGGTTAAAAATTAGAGGTATAGAAAAACGATAAGAAACCTTTTTTGTAGAAAATTCAATTCTCCACAAGAAAAATTTTGTAAATTTTTTTCTATCCTTAACCATTCAGCCATAATTCCAATTTAAAGTAAAAAAACTCGAAATTTCGGTCACTATCAGGCACCACTGAAGCCAATTAAATATCCTAAAAATGTCATTAGTGCGACGTCTAAATATTTTTTTTTTTTTTGTATTAATAACGCGCCTTAATATTTTTGTTTTAATCAGTCAAAATTTAATAATTATTATTAAAAACTAAATAAATAATTACTTAAAAAATAAATATTATTAATAATTATTACAGTAAGACTAGGTCAGGGTTAGCAGTGATGTTGCCGCAAAGATGGTGGTCGCGCAAATCACCCCATCCGCCATTTCCTTTACGTAATTTAGTTTTTTTAGCGACCCCAGCTATCGTCAGAGTCAATTGCGAGGGAAACAAGTGATTACGCGCGGATTTAAGAACTTGTTGGACTTTAGCAATCACAGCCGTTGATTCGCAGTTGTTTTTTTTGTGATGAATTCCACTGAAAAAAAAAAAAAAAATATTTTTAGCATTATTTTTTAATGAAAAAACTATTCATAAATTGAAAAATAAATTTTATTATGATTTCATCCGGAATACTGTGTTAATTACATTTATTCATGCATAAAATGAGTGAATAAGGCTTTTTCTGAGACTCGTGTTTTAGAATACACTCTTTGCTCGTTTGCCCGACCTCTCTCAACCGAAAATTCCCTCCAATTATACAATATACATAATATATACTATTAGGTTGGATTGTTTATGATAATTTTAGTAGAACTTTTATCAAGAATGTTAAAATTATACTATTAAAAAAAATTTTTTTGTTAATTTCTAAATTATTCAATTAAACTAATTTTTTTAATTGATTAAGACAAAAGCATCAATTTTTGACAGTCGTAAAATTGTTAAAGAAAGATTAGAGTTACGAAAAAATGATACACGGACAGAAAATTATGGGAAATATTCCTATAATTGGTAGGAATGGTTCCCATAATGGTTATAGTAATTATTCCTAGAATATTATAGAAATGGTTCCAATAATGGCGTGGAAATAGTTCCCATAATGGTATAAGAACAGTTCTCAGGTCATTATGAGAACCATCCTTATGATATTATGGAATCTATTCCTAAACCATTATGGGAACCATTTTCATAATAGTATGGAAACTATCCCTATACTAATATAAGAACTACTCCTATACTAGTATAGGAATAATTCCTATCATATTATAGGAATTATTCTACATAATAGTATGGTAATTATTTCTTTATAGTATCAAACAAATATTCATTTCCAGAAAAGTGAAAAAATTCTCTCATAATATAGAGGATTGAATGGAGCTTTTAGACAAAAAGTGTATAATAGAAATGTTTTCTGCATTATTTTCTAAAAAAATATTCTTATAATAGTATAGGAATCATTAGAATAATATTATCGAAATCATTCTTATAGTAATAATATGGGAACTATTCTCATAATAATGTAGAAATAGTTCCCCATAATAGCATGGAAACTATTCCTATACCATTATGAGAACCATTCCCATAATATTATAGGAATAATTTCCATAATGGTATGGAAATAGTTTCCATACCATTGTGGGAACTATTCTCACAATTTATAGGAATCATTCCTATAATTTATTGGATTTATTCCTAATATGTTATGGGCATCATTCCCATAATAGTGTAGGAACCGTTCCTATAAATTATAGAAATCATTTCTATAATATTATAGGTAACATTCCTACAATTATAAGAACTTTTCCCATAATTTATGGTTGTAGTTTCTATAATGGCGTAGGAAAAAATCCTATAAAATTATGGAAATAGTTCACATATCTTTCTTTCCGTGTAAGAAACTTTTTTTGTAGAAAATTCAATCTTCTACAAAAAAGGTTCTTATATCAATTTTTTTGTATCTCTTATCATTTCCTCATCAAATCAATTTAAAGTCCTTGTGACTTATTCTGTACAGTTATTAACTACTAGAACTTTAAATCAGATTTCTGATTAAAGGGCAGGGGATATAAAAATAGTGATAAAGACCTTTCCAATTGAAAATTCATACATCTACAAGAAAGGTCCTAATAATTACTAACTTGATATAATTATAAACTCCAAGGACTTTAAATTAGATTCCTGGATAAAGGATCGAAGATACGAAAAAATCATAAGAATTTTATTTTGCAGGAAATTTAATTCCCTATAAAAAAGGTTTCGATCACTTTTTCCGTATCTCTAACCCTTTATTCACAATTTTACTCCAAACTAATTGGTGATTCTACCGTGTTCTTTAATCGAAAAATTTCGGATACATACCATTCACCAATATGAAAGACACGTGGCGCCCTCATCATCATGGCGACCAGTCCCGAGTCAACCCTGGGTGCTGCCCCAGCACCTCTGCTCGGCGGAAGACACGTCTGGGCCACATACTGCAGGCTCCAGTCCCAATTATAGTCATCGTATGAGCAAAATTGGGAGGCGCATTTCCTCAATTTGTTCCAGGTGACTCTGTTGAAGGCCATGCCCATGTTGTGCTTGCTGGATATCCATGGAATAACTTCCGCCTGTCAATTACGCCAGTAAAAAAATTAATAAAAAAAAAAAATATTGTTTTTTAAGTATAATTAAATTAGGAAAAATTTAATTTATATAAATTGTCGCTGCAACAAGGTCATTAATTATCAGTAAAATTAAAATAAATAATTACACTTGACGTGATAGTTATAAATTACAATGATGTTTAATTAATGCTAATTGATAGATTGTTAAATAAATAAATTAATGCTGACCTTGCGCAGTGCGAAATCTTGGAATATAATTGTCCATTGACATTCAAGCATTTTTTTTATAAAACATGCTTATTTATTAATTATTTATTGTTAAAATTAATTCATTATTTTTTTTATTAGATAGTTGGGATTAAATTAGTAAGTACATGCGAGAAGATATTTTTTAAATAAAAACATTTTTTGTGGTGCTTAATAATGACCCGATGATACTGAATTTTCATAAGGACCTAAGGAACACTATTTTACGATAAGTTTTAAAAAAATCAGGAAAATCGGGGGAGTAGTTTAGGAGTTATAAGCATTGCAAAATCAAGGTACAACCCAAAGCGCGGAAGGAAAATTTTAATTAAGATTTCTGACTAAAGGATTGAAGATACGGAAAAATCATGACATTTTTTGTGGGAAATTGAATTTTCTACAAGAAAGGTTCTTATTTTTTCCGTAGCTCTTTTCAATTCTTCGGAAAATCAATTCAAAGTTATAATTATTTATTAGTTAGTACACTGATAAAAAAAAAATATCTTCATTCAAGAAATTTATTTTGAAGAGAACTATTTGTCTTATTTCAAGAAATTCTTGTCTTGATTTCATGTTTCTTGGATCAAGACTATATTTTCCTCGATCGATTCAAGTGAATTCTTTATTCAAAAACGATTCTCTTTAATAAAGAATAATTTTATTTCATTTAAAGAATTATTGATTGTTGATTCAAGAACAAATTTTTTTATTTATAATGTTATTAGTTTAAGTCAGAAAAAAACTTTGAAGTAAAAAAATTTGTATGCTTAAAACAAGTAAAATAATACTTTAATTCAAGAGTCGCGCCATACTTGGAACAAGTCGGTAATATCTCAAACCACTCGTATAAAAATACTATATATCTTTAAAAATATATTAGGGGCCATTCATTAATTACGTAAGGGTATTGAGGGGGAGGGGGGGGTTAAGAAAATCTCTACAAGTTCTTACGTTGGGGGGAGGGGGGGGGTAAAATTCATTCTTGCGTAATATTTCGTGAATCAAAATTCAAGATTAAAAATCTTTCCATTTCAGATTCCAAATTGTTTTCTTAATTTTAAAGTGTACAGTTGAATTTTTATTTTATTTAAATAATTTTTGTTGCTTATTGAAAAAAGTAAAAAATAACTTATTAAAATTTTATATGTTTTTATTGTTATCCATGTTTGATTCTATAGAAAAAATTATAGTACATTTTTCCGCGTATTATCATATTTTTATTATTTAAAAAATAAAAAAACATTTTCATCTACCGTTACATCTGATGAGCTACCAATTGTCTCTGATTGGATGACATGGATTAAAAGTCCGTTTAGTCCGGATGAAGATTAATAATTTTAAGTTATTATTTTTCATCGAACAATTATGTGTTTTTTTTTAAATTAGAATATTTTCATGCCTTTAGGGTCATTCGTAACTAGTGGATCTTTAAAAAATCGTATTATTATGATGAACTAAGTATCTTATGATACTAAGTACGTTCATCATAATAACTCGATTTTTTAAAAAATGTTGGTTAAGACATTATTGCTTAATTCCATCCAATTGATCTAGCTTGAACTATTTAATTTATGTTTTTGAGACTAATTTAAAACTAGTCAAATATTATTTTATGAAAAATATTATGAGTTTGTAGTTTTATTGATTTATGTTTGCTAGTATTATTTAAATTATTCCTTGTTAAAAAATAAAAATTATGGATCCACATTGAACTGTAAGTTTTAGTGAAACTGATCCTTTCCTAACATAAAAGTTTATTATTTAGAAGATCAAGATAGAATCTTACGTAAGAAAGGGGAAGGGGGGGTTCGAGAAATCTTACGTAT